GTTTCTCGCGCCGGGGGGGGGGGGGGGGGGGGGTCATAATCCAAGGCGACACCTATAAATTGAGGGGCTACTCTTCCCTGTGGGACATGATCCCATGAACACCTAAAAATGAAGGGGCTATCTATACTTCGATGGGGGTCATGATTTATTTATACCTATGAATTGAGGGGCTATTCTCCCCTGGGAATCATGATCCCACAGATACCTATAAATTAAGGTGGATATAGATCCAGGGGGACATGATCCCAAAGACACCTATAAATTGATGGGCTACTCTCCCCTGGGGATCATGATAGATAGATTGAGGGGCTATTCTCCCCTGGGGGGGGTCAAGATCCAATTGGCACATATGAACTGAGGGACTATTCTCCCCTAAGGATCATGATCCCACAGATACCTATAAATTAGGGGATATACATCCAGGGGGTCATGATCCCATCGACATCATTTGGGGGCTATATTCCCTTTTTAAATACATTTTAATTACATATATTTGGCACCCCCACACTTTTATTGTAGTGAGTATGAACATTTTTCTCACTGTTGGGACATTGGGAAGGTTTTGGAAGAATGTACCGGGCCTTGGTCTCACTATAGAACCACTGCTCTATGTAAATCCAAACCAGAACCACTGCTCTATGTAAATCCAAGCAAAAAAAGAAAAATGTCTGGACCTGGTGCAGGTTCTGGGGCCGTCATCCTGATCCTATCTGGTGAGTTACTGACCTTGGAAAAAGGACAGGCAGGACAGCAATGCAAATTTTACAAGAGGCAACTGGACCCGTCATCGTCAGCTGAGGGCATGCTAAGAGGCAAGTGTGACAACGTGCAAGTATCTCGTACAAGAGCCCCCAACCCCCCGCCCCACCCTGTGGATTTTACTTTTGGTTTAAAAGGAGAACTATGAGATGAGTGATTGTCACTCAGTTTCATAGTTCTAGCCGACCTGTGACAATGAGACTGTCACAGGTCGGCTCAGTAGATCGGGAGGTGAGCGAACACATACCGGCGTTCGCTCGCCTCTCGATCCTGTCACGGCTCTCTGCCGTGACAGGGGAAGGGCTGGATTCCCCCCGCTCCGATCCGCCAGCGCTGACTGGCGGAACGGACGGGGGCGGGTACAGCTGGCTCTGCCTCTAGATAGGCGGAGCCAGCTGTCACTCACGCAGCAGGTGGATCTCGACATTGTCGGGATCCGCTCCGGCGTGTCAGTATACTGCGAGCTGTAGCTCCCTATATACTGAGCTTATGGTAACGGGAGGATGCTAGTTTTTGTCCTCCCGTTACCCTAAGGAGAACTATGGGGAAAAACACTGACCCCATTAGTTCTCCTTTAAGGAAGTGAAGAGAAGAAGTCAGAGAAGTGCCGCCATGCGGTTTGATGACCAACAGAAAAAAAAAAAGGATGGTGGGACATTTGTCCAACAGAGGCAGACTACCTTCGAGGAGGTAGTTGGGCCCCCCTTGAATTTAAAGAGTGGAGCAAACTAAAACAACACTGGAAGACATATCATCACCGAAAGCTTGCCCCGGCGGGCTCTAGTTGGGCGGTTATTATATTCCAACCGGCGTATCTAGAAAAGAATCCACTTTTTGTGAAAAGAATGTTATTTGCCGCATTAAACCAGATGCCAACGTGCCAGACATCTGCCATCCGCGGAGACTTTTACACGGGGGGGGGGGGAGGAAGGTTTCCCAGGGAAGTGTTGCTGAAAATTGTACTTTCTATTATGAATATGAGATTTAATATACAGATGGCA